GTGGAGGAGTTGCAGGAGACAAGGATGCTTAATTACAGAGCAGCCCTGGAAACCAGCAACGGCAGAGGCACTGTGGCCAGGAGGGGAGGCAGCAGGGCTGTAAATAGAAATTGCGGAGGCAGCCGCAGGGAACAGAGTGAGGGAGGCTTCTGCGCCTGCATCGCTCCTCTCCCTCCCTTCTCCTCAGCTTCTCTCACCTCTCCCGGCCACCCTGGCTCCCAGCACAAACCACCATGTGACAAGCAGCCCCAAAGCGTGGCTGGGAGGCAGCAGCTCCAGAGGCAGAAGAGCCGCTCTGGGTGGAGAAGGGGTTGTGCAAGGCCTCCTCCATCAGGGGCCAGCTCCCATGGAAATGCATGAGGAGGATCAAAGGGACTCTTTGGCTGGCAAGGAGACCAGGGCAAGATGGACACGGGGCCAAATTGCCCCGTCTAACCCCCAGAGAGGCTGTGGGATGCCAGATGGCTGACACCCCATCCCACAGGGGTCTGCCCAGGGTGAAGGCCCTCTCGTCCCACCCTGACATCTCCATTACGTCCTTTTCCACAGCAGCAAGAGCTCTGCTTTCAGTATTTTGCAAAGGTTTATTTAAAAATGTTGAAACTAACATCCCACAAGAATTGAATATTTCACCACGAGGAGAAGAGAAATCCTACAAAAATATATATCACAGCGCACAAGGGCAGGGGAGGAGGAAGAGCGAGACTGAGCGGGGAAGCGGGAAGGAGGACGGAGGGGAGGATGGGAGCCGCGGCAGAACGAGACCGAGTGGCAAAGGGAGAACAAGAGAGGAGTGGGGAGAGCGAAACAGCAGGAGGGGAGAGAGAACCGGGAGGGAGACTGTGGTACAGGACGGGAGTGGGAAGCGGGAAAACAGTGGGAGAGGGAAAACAACAGGAAAAAAGGAGTAGAGAGCCAGCAGTCGGTGAAGGAAGGGGCCCCCCTCTGTGGTCTGGCCAAGGTAGGGCCAGGACTAGAGTGAGACATCAGTGGGGGTGAGGGTGGGGAGCTGGAGTTTGGCCCAGGGCTTTTGTGCTGCAGGACTCGGCTCCAAGGCTGCGCCGTAGCCATGGTTTGTCAGAGTAAAAAAACAAAACCACAGTTTAATTCAGAACAGTCTGAAGGTGATCGTGTTTGAGAACTTGCGGGGAATGAACAAACCGCTCCTTTCCAAGCGTTTTTCCTTATTGGGAGTGGGGAAGGAAGGGACCAGATTTGCAAGGGCACTTAGGTGCCGTCGAGGAAGAGGTAGATAGCCCTCTCTGAAGCTGTGGGATGCTTGGCTGGATGTGAGTCCCTGGAAACTGGACCGGGGGAGCGGTGTGGAAGCGCACACCAGAGGTCTGCTCCCCTGCCTACTGGTCGCAACGGGCAGGATGGGAAAGCCCAAGGAGGATTTGGCCTTGTGGTCTCTCTGGGAGAGATCCTTCCCCAGACCTTCCCTCCTTCCCACTGCGCTCACAGAGAGACCACCCTTGCCTTAACAAAGCCAGGACCCTCCAGGAGCTCAGCAGGGACACGGTTCCTTCAGCTCACCCAGCCCGCCCGGACCTTCCCTTTCAATTGCACGGAAATACTGGGCAGGCTCAACCCAAGGCTATGAACATTTCCAGTCGGTTTCCCCGCACACCTTTTCCTCTGTAAAATTTCCACTGGAAAAAAATGAATCCAGATCTTTCTCCTGCTGTCACTTAGAAGACAGGGAAACCTGATGGGCTGTGGCTGAGAAGGGACTGGCCTCTGCCCTGGCTTGGTGCTTGGTGCTGTCAGCCTGTCCGTGTGCGCATCGCACAGAACATCAGCTCGGGCCAGGGAAGAGCCTGCAGGCATGCTCTGGCTCTGCTCTGCCTAGGGGAAGATGGTTTATAAGGCTCCAGCCATGGAGGAAACCAGATCCAGTGAGATTATTTATTGACTGGAAGAAGCTCGTATGTCCACACGTGTTTTGAATGTTTTGTTCCAGGGACAAAATGTAGCAATGAAAGCTTGGGCAGGATAATGAAGTTGTTTCCCATATCTAACCTGTTTTGTGTGAAAGAGTGAATGACTGTCATTAAAAACATATTTGGCTAGAAAAATTGGTCTTGGAAAAGATGTTCAGTGTATCCAAGTTTCTGTCATTGTACGAATTTTCTCTACTGCATTCCCCAGCTTCCCCCTTACCACAGCATCCGTAAAAGGTTTCACTCCCTGGAGATACTTTTAACAGAAACAGAGACACATTAAAGGAAGGAAAAAAAAACCCCAAAACACCAAGATCTGATTTGTTTGCAGAGTTTACAAAAGCCTGGCCAGCGGAGCACAGGGCTTCCCCGCACCAAGTGTTGGAAAACGTTTTCACGACGCCTTCTGTGGTGCCCTGCCGCTTTCTTACGGACCTTCTCTCCACGCAGCGTGTGGAAAGGGAAAGTCCAAGCACAGCCCTTGAAGTGGTAGAGTCTAAACTCTGGCCTTGTTTCAACGAGCGCTATTGATCAAAGAGCAATCTAATTAATCTGGCCTGGAAGATTACTTAAACCAGTTCAAGGCATTATATTGTAAACTGCCAGCAATAAGGAGCGCAGCCTCTTGCGGACTGCGTGCGGGTGGCCTCCTCCGGCGCCGACGTGCCAGCGAGAGGGCGAGCAGCCCCGAGCAGTGGGCAGGAACAGCCATCTGCCCCCTTCTCTGTCCAGCCGCAGCTTCAATGTCCACCAAAGCCTTGAATGGAGCCTGAATAAGGAAAAGGCTCAGTAATAGCTCGATCTACGATAAAGCAAGAACATCCCCTGCCGTAAGCGGAGACTTAACCTGCGCTTAGACTAGAGACCTCTGGAGTCCTTTTTCATCTACATCTTCAGCCATTCTGTGCTTTTAATAAGCCACTAATTTTATTTGACCTGTCATTTTCTCCAAATCTCTACTGTTTTTTTGCGAAGCTTATTGCAATTTACACTCTCATTTAAACGTCCTTCACGGTGAGTCAGATGGGGCCCAGGATCACCTAATAGTTCAGCTGGGTACGTGGGCAGAACCAGGCCTCTTACAAAACTCCCTGTGCTTTGTCCTATAAAGAAGAGGCTTTTACTGCAGAGATAAAGGATGAAAGGGCCATTTTCTTTTCTCCAGGATGACTTTTGTCAGAGACCTTGTGTGCTGCCTGAGGGCCTTCAAATTGTGGGTGAGTTTCCCGTCTCTGGCCCCATCAGTCTGGTGTTGGTACAGTATAGGGGCAACCTTACCTCCATCTCCATCATTTCAGCTCAGTGGCTGCCAACATGGGGTGCATGAATTACGGTGAAGGTGTCCACAAAAGCCAAGGGAGGTCAACTATTGTCATTAAGCTGAAATTTGCCATTTCACGCTTCCTCAAAGTGACACCCAGGGGTCCACGCATAGGAAGAGGTTGAGACGCGCTGATCTCGCTCACACATAGAATCACAGAATGGTTTGGGTTGGAAGGGACCTTAAAAACCATCTGATTCCAGCTCCCCCGCCACGGGCAGGGACACCTTCCACCAGACCAGGTTGCTCAAAGCCCCATCCAGCCTGGCCTTGAACACTTCCAGGGATGGGGCATCCTATGGTTAGACAAGTAACTGACGGTGTGGCTGCCTGCCCTACAAACCACCACAGCCCTGAAGTACCTGCTCAGGCAACCGGTTTGCACCGATACCTGTGCCGTTGGTTTCGGTCCCCAACCAGTTGGGGCAATACACTTACGAAGGCTGGCACCTCAGATATCCCCTCTCTCATGCCCTTGGTGAGCATTGGGGGTCTCCAGTCACCTTGCATTCCAGGAAAGACCTACCAGCAGTACATGGCGACCCTCCAGGTGTTCCCAAGGTCAACTCCAAGTTGCTCTTTGTCATCCCAGGCACAGAGAGTCACGTCTGCTGCTTGTTGCCTCTAGCATGAGTGTCTGAAAGCAATTCCCTGCCTCAGCCCAGCAAAACTCAGGTTCCTTGTGCCCAGCTATATCTGCCTGCCATGCTTTAGCTGTTTCAGCAGTATCCCAACATACAGGACGCTCGCTGAATAGCAGAGGGCTTCGCCTCATATTTTCTGAATAATATCACCATAGGCTGATGTTCTTCGGAAAAAACCTTGCTGAAGGAGGCTGAGGGGGTGGAGGGGGACAGCAAGGAGGCTTCTAAGAGATCAAAACATTGGGAAAGCTAAAGGAACCTTTTCCAACTTGAACTGGCAAGAGAAGTGGCGGGGGCAGGAACTGAGAGAAGAAAATTGGGGATGGAGAGATGAAGAAAGATACAAGCTGAAGAGAAAAAACAGAGGAGTGTTAGGCAGAAAGAAAATGGAAAGATGTGAATATCTTCCATCTAGGGAGGAGGTGATGTTTCCTTCAAGGTTGCTGAGGGGGCCCAGGTGCTGTGTGAGCCTCTTCTGCCCAAGCTTCACCCACCCTTGAGACCCTCGGGAGGGCCAAAGCCTCGGGAAGAGAAGAACCTGCCACCACCTGAGTCCTAGCTCAGGGGAGACCGAGCCCCGGCGGGCGATCCTGCAGCCACTGAACTCCAGACGTTCACTTCAAAGCACACGACATGGGAAGGGACACACAGAGGGGTTAGGGCCCACGGGGACAGGGGTACGCCTTTCCACCTTGCCTACCCCCGACGTCAGGCATGCACTGGTGAAAGAGTGATGGCGATCCAAGTTGGGGGGTGTGTGTGTCTGCGTGTGTGCGAGGAAAGGGGCCGGGGAGGCCAAGATTTCACACCACCAGCGGCTCTCTTCCCTCCCACCATCCTGCTCTCTCATTACCCTGTCCTGCGTGGGTCGGGGCGGGGACCCCAACCTTCCCCCAGCAGAAGGCTAAGGAGGCCCAGCTCGTCCATTTGCCCAGGCACGTCCTGGTGGAGTTAGTTAATAATGGTGGTGGCGGGCCGTGGCACAAGGAGGTCTTTTTTTTTTTTTCCTGGGGTAGCAGAGGCGGCGGGAGTCTGCGCTCGCCGGCTGTGACGGGAGGGTGGGGGGAGCCAGCTCTGCTTCTCCCGTGAGCATCACAGGTTCACCAGTGGGATTCTGGGGGGAAAAGGGAATTGGAAATTAATTAGCAATGGGCACTTACGCTGCCCCACCGCCCCCACTAACCAACTGGCACCTTTGCCCTGCCTCAGCCTGCTTGACCCCTGTCCTCCACCACCCGCTCCCGCCACGGCTCACCGGCCACTCACCGGTTGAGCTGGAAGGCCGTGCTCTTCCCGTGGCCTCCCAGTTTCTCTGCACCCTCCTGGCCCTGCCTGGACTCCTCCGCCTCGGGCGTGGGGGCCAGGGAGTCACCATAGGGCCCCAGGATGCTGACGGTGGTGGGGGAGAGGTCCGTGAGGGGCTGCTGGCTCTCCTGCTGCCTCCCACCGCTCTGCTGCCCCGAGTGACGCCGCCGTTTCTGATTACGGTCCCAGCTTTGGAAAGAGACGAGGGGTGAGACGAAGAGTGCCCCTTCAGACAAGCCCCAGCCCTCGACGACGGAGAGGTTCGTGGGACCCTGCTATACTCAGTGTTAGAGCCCAGCGCGGCCACGTGCCAAACCTCCTGGGGGCTTCCAGCACCAGATCCCCCACCTTGGGACGAACGGGTCCCAAACCCACAGTCCTCCCGCCCACCCACCTGCAGACACCAGCATGGTCACAGCCTCCATCGGCCCAAACCTCACTCACCAGAACTTGAATATGATCCCAGTGGCAACCAGGACAATGATGATGGAGATGGTGATGGTGACGTACAGCTGGGGATCCACACCTGCGAGACAGAGGGGGAGAGGGGGGTGTGATGGCCACCCCCACCGGTCCCCAGAGAGCAGCAGTGCAAGGGGAGGTTCCTGCTGGGGCCCTCATGAATTTTGCAGAAGGAGCTGCTGCTGTGGGAATGGCGGGGTGAAAGAAGCAAAGGGCAGATTTACCTTCCCCCCGGGGCCCAAACAAGAAGGGCCGCAGGGTGGCCGGGGTCTCGCGCAGGTTGAGCCCCGCGTTGTGCAGGAGCGAGTGGGAGTTGGGCTGTGCCGTTGCCATCCCGTGTGGTGAGACAAAGGTGTATCCCAGCGGTGGGAAGCCTGGGTTGGCCGAGTTGGTGTCCCCTCCGTCCTCATCCGACACGGTGGGGCCCCAAACGATGGCCCAGGGGTACTGGGAGGAGGGCATGCCGTCCTCAAATCCGGAAGGGGTGGCGGGACGGGCCCCCACTGCCTGGCGCCTCAGCCGCACGACGTGCCGCAGCTCTCCCCCCCGGGAGGGCAGGGCCCGCTGGCGCGGCAGGGCGAAGCGAGAATCCCTCTCCGGCACCGAGGTCCTGTCCCAGATGCAAATGGGCCGCGAGGCGGAGGGGCTCCGACGGGCGCAAAGAGGCCGAGCGGCCGCCGGGCCCCGAGAGCGAAGCGACCAGACGCCGGGAGGAGGGACGGCGGAGACCAGGAGGAGGAGATGCCAAAGCTGCAGGGAGTGGATGCAGGAGAGGAGTGCAGGCATCCTGCTGCGGGGCAAGGGGGAGGAAGAAGAGAGGCTTATCTGAAACACTCCTCCCGTCGAAAGGCCAAGCCCAGAGCCGCCGGGAGCAGCCCGCCACCCACGCTCCCGTCATCTTCCCGCGTCGCTGGCGAACGTGGGAAGCTGTGAACCTACCAAGCACTGGGCTCCATCTCAGATGCAACAGCGTCTTTGCTCAGCGGGGATCCTGTCTCATCTTCTTCACTGGGAACCAAAAGGGAGAGGTGTCAGCATCCCCTCACCCAGCGGTGACCGCTCTCTCCCTGGAGGCAACGTGTGCCACCGTGGGCAAGCTCCCGGCCCTGGCGGGCAGGGCAACGGGGCGCCCGTGCACCCATCTCCTGCTCTTCTGCATGGAGGTGCATCGTCGCCCCAACCCCAGCGCCGCACAGGAACGCGCGCGTTAGCATATGCACACAAAAGCAAGGAGCAATCTCTGGAGCACACGTGCGGAGGCACATGCGCAGCTTCCCTGGGGACTCTCCTGTCTGAGGGCCGAGAGGGGGATTAGGCATCTTTGTTTGCTTATCGCTGGAACAAGTTGGAATCTTAATTCCTGTGTTTATTTATAGTGTAGAGCGTGTAATCCATTTATTAAAAAAGAGCCGTTTCATTGTGTGCCAGAGTGACGGAGCGAGAGGGGAAGCACGAGAGTGATAAACGGAGAAGGCTGAGAAAGAGAGAGTGAATCAGCGAGAAAAGTCCAGCCTCACTAAAGAATTTAAGAGCAAAAATATGCCTATCAAATATTTAGTATTTACTTTCCTCTTAGCTAACACGGAATTACCTTCCCACACCCCTTGTCCTAGTGTCCTCTGTGCTGTCCCGTCCCTCCCTTTCTTCCCTGTTCCTCCCCTCTCTCTCCCACCTCCCATGGCCAAGCAGCACCCGGCAGCAGTGGTAACAGGGAGTAAGGGCTGGTCCCACCGGCTGGATTTCTGCACCGGCCACACGTCAGCCTCTGGCATCGGTCCGGCGGTAGCACGGCTGCCCTTCATGCTGCCTGCCCCTTCCCTTGGCTGGGCACAGCGTGGCGCCGGCCCTTCCCCGGTGAGCTGTTATGTGCCTGACCCGGGATCCTCTCCGCAACAAAGACCGCACACTCACACACACACACACACACAGAGAAAAAAAATCATTCAAGATATTCAACTCGCTCCTTCATCGTGAAGGGGAAAGCATGAATGCCGACAACCCACGGTCATGCCCTTCTGTGGCTGCTGGGATGGAGAAATGGGGATGTTTGGCTGAGGGAGTCGACGCAGAGGCCAACCCTGCACCTCCAGCCCCCAGCCAGCTGTGTTGCACCTCTCAGCTCCCAAGGGGTTACCGCCGTCCCCTCCTGCTCCGTCTGAACTAAACCTGCAGCCTAACTAAGCCTTTTCAACCCTGAACTAAAGCTGCAGCCCCTCCTGAAGGGGAGGCTTCCTCCTGCTGAGGGAAGAGCCCGGTGCTTGCTGTGGCTCACCTGAGGAGAGGGGCTGGGAGCAAAGACACCCAAGAGTGAGGAGCTGTCTAGCTCCTGCTGCATTAACTGGGGATATTTTTAGTTTCCTTCTGTTAAATATTTAAACAAAGTTCACAGAAAAAAAGGAACTGTCGGCTAATGTGCCCTGCCCTTCCCTCCGGGGCAAGATCAGTCTCTGGAGGGATCCTGAGATGAAGATGAGGAGAAAAGAGCAGCTATTCTCAGCATTTCTTTGTACTTTGCTCCTGAATCTCTAAGCCTTGGAGTGGACTCAGTATTAAAATGCAGCTCTGCAGACAGCCAGCAGAACGGAGCGGGTTTCTTCCGAAGCCAGAGGCTGGTGAGATCTTGGCCATCTGGATTGCGATCACGATGCCGTGGAGGAGCATGTCTGGCAACACAAACCCATGACAGAATTTCTTTTGGACTTTGGAAAGGGAGGGAATTCCATGCGTCGGGGACCTCCTCGCGGGAGTCCCCAGGCTAGAGGGCACACAAACCGCCCGTGGCCTGGAGTGCCTGGGGCCGTGCCTGGGAGTCACCACGGGACGGTAGTTCCCTGGGGTGAAGAGCCTGCTCTGCTTGTGGCACGGCCTTCTCAGTTACAGCTCTGGTCTTCAGGGGCTGCGGGCTGTTTTGCATCAGGCAGCAGATGTGGGTCTGGACAGTGTCACCCCAGGAGTGGAGATCTCCAGGTGCAGGTAGACCTCGGTGCCAGTCCCGTGGGGAAGCGTGGTACATTAGGGGTGCACGTGTAACTGCTGGCACCCCTCCGAACATAGGTGACTCTACCGGCAGAAACGTGCCTGGTTGTAGGTGCACAGCGTGCTGGTCACCCAGCTCACCGCGCTTGTTGGGATGTCTTACAACAGAGACCTTGCTGTACTTCTCGGCTGAGACTGTGAGCTCCAGCAACAGCAGCCCAGGCCATGGATTCCCAGGGTATAAAGCCTGGGAATAAGAAAACCTACAGAGCCAAATTCTGAATTGCTTTCACGCCTGGTGGTCTGAATTTCAGCCCTATGGAGCAGGTAATGGCTGTAAGCGGAGCTGAGGGGAAGGAGTGAGCCCCAGCACTGGCCTCCTTGTGTACGTATAACACTATGGAAGTGACAGCCCGGACATCGGGTGTAAGCCTCAGAGCTGAGACACTGCTGTGCACAGGTCCTGCTGCCAACGGTGAAGAGCGGGTGACTCCCGGTGCCCTGACCCCAAAGGTGGCTCCAGGTGAGTGCAGGAATGAGGCAATGTCAGTCGGTCTCAGTCAACGCGTTTGGGTTTGCTAACCCCATCGTGGCCGGAGACCAAGAGCGCGTCCTGCACTAGTACACCCAGGCGTGGGTGCGGAGGAGCTGGGAGAAGCACAGCGGTGTCTCCCGTCGCCTGAATGCCGTGAGAGCAAAGGAAGGTTTCAGGTGGAAATGCCAGCCAGTGAGGGCTGGACTCCACTGCGCATGGAGCGCTCACGTTCAAAGCAGAGCACGGGCGGCCCTGTGGCTTATTGACAGAGCGGCGGATGAAGCGTGTCAGGGCACTCTGCAGGCAGCCGCCGGCAGCGGGGATGGCGTCCTGGGCAGAGACCTTGCTGCGTTGGCGGGCAAGGGTAACAAACTCCCTTCGCTCAGCTCCGTACACGGCTCCTGGTGCGGACGCTGAATAAACCGGTGGATCTTCAGAGAGGAGGAGGGGATGCCAATGCTCTTACTACCTAGATGTAGAAATCCCAGTATCCACGCACCTTGCACCATTCAAGAGGCCTTTGCGTGCCAGAGCAGAAACACCGGATTTCTGCCCCAGTACCGCACGGCGCGGCTCTTGCTTTCAGATCTGTTTCCCAGGTCTCATTGTGATGGAACCGGACAGGGCTACTCCCAGGGTCCACAGATGGACCCGTGTGTTTTCACTCTAGGTACAGAGCCTTCATCGCGGTGTTCCAGCCCTGTGATGCACAGATGACAGAGTGTGAATGACAAAGCTATTTCCCCAGGGCACTTCATTGAGCTCAGTTTGTGAATCTTGGTGCTCGAAAGCCGCGAGTAAGAATTACACTGCTCTTTGCTACTGCATATGGACCACACCGGTCCAGACCAGCAAGCCCTGGGGATAATCTACTAGGAGCCACTCTCATTGCATTTGCAGGATGGAAGCGCAAATCCTGCTGCTGTTCCCAGCATCAGGGACCCGGCTGTGCTTCCTCCCTCTTTCTAAGCCTCCTGCAGCACGGACCCACCGCTGCTGGGACGTGAGAGCAGGTCTCGGTAACCGTGCCCCAAAGGATGTCTCCCCGTTCACCAAGGGGGCTGGGAATTTACATCCGAACTAATGGCTGGGAGCAAAGCCCGCTGCACTCCCACTCTGAGCAGGCAGCACAGACAAAGCCCTGAATGAGACACTCTCAGTTCCAGAGTTCAGATGCTACCGCACCCCGGGGACGCCCTAGGATTCGCTGCCGATAACTCCTTCTCCGTGTCCGGGACTCTTGTATACTGTGGTCCCAAAGATAAATCCTATCCAGATATAAAAGCCGTCACCGGAATAAAAGAGCCGAGGTGCCAGCCGTGTGCAGGCAAGACCCGTGCCATAGCTCCCTCGCATCAAATGCAATCTGTAACCTTCTGTTACAAAATGCTGAAGTCTGACAAATTCAAATGAGGAACAATACTATTAATAAAGAGGGTCACGCACTAGCACAATTCACCTAGGCAGGCGGTGTATTCCCTGCTGCCTGGAGCCTTTGCGTGGCCGTATTTCGAAAAGAGATGCTAGGGTTCAATCAGAAGTTACGGGCTTGACGCAGGAAATGAAATCGGTGACATTCTCTGGCCTGTGCTCTGCTGTAGGTCAGGCTCGATGATCAAAATGGTCCCTCTGGCCTTAAAATCTGAGAATCTCACAGCTTTCTCGATGCCTGGCCGAGATCAGCTCTGACTGAAGAGCAATTGGATGAAGCCGAGCACACACAAGCCATGGTAGTGAGAAGCAGGTAGAGCCTCCTTCCATCCGGGGATGGGAAAAGAGTTGCACCCGATTCTGTGTGGCTCGGCTGGCAGATGATGATCTATCCGTATTTTTGTAACATCTCGAGCTTGACTGCTGTGATACTGTGCCTCTAGGAATGAAGCCGTCTGCTCTCAGAGCGCTCCAGCGAGTTCAGAATGCAGCAGTCTGCTGGGCGACGCGAGCTGCCGGGAATGCATCACCGGGCCCCTCCGCACCCCACATCGCCTCGCCTTTCAGCACGGAGCCCGGTTCAAGGTCTCCCAGCCAGCATTCAAAGCCCAGCACGGGACAGGCCCCAGTGACCTCAGCAATCAATCACCTCTCCTTATGCAGCGATGACCTCACATGACAGATATATTCCACTGGAACAATGAAATTGCCGACCAGTTTGGGGAGAGGGGGAAGGGATGGGAGATGGGGAAAGAGGCTCACGACCCTGAGGAACAGAACATTCACAGGAGCTGGGCCAAGATTATGAAACTTACTGCCGGCTGAAATAACGCTTGCCATTAGCAACCCCGCAGCACCGAGAGCTTCATGCAAATCCTTTCTTCGCCCAGCTCCCCCACGGCAACGATCCCGCTCGACATAGTGATTAAAAAAACAATCAAAACAAACCTGAGGAGGACCCAGCCCTCCTCGCAGAGAAAGAACGCTAGTTTGGCTCGCATTTTTTTAACTCCC